AACATGACTCTGCTAATGCCTTGATCTGAGACTCCTTGCCTCCAGGCCTGTGAGACAATAAATTTTTGTTGCTTTAAGCCACTCAATTTGTAGTGCTCTGTTATGGCAGCCCTGGCAACAAATCTACATCCAAATCCCCATCTCCAGCTCTGCTTCTAGGGAACCCGGCCAAAGACAGCCAGCTTGTTTTTTTCTTTCTTTCTTTCTTTGTTTCTTTTTGCAGAACTTAATTTTTTTTTTTTTTAACTTTTATTTTAAGTTCAGGAGTACAAGCACAGGTTTGTTACATAGGTAAATTTGTGTCATTGGGGTTTGTTGTATAGATTATTTTATCACCCAGGTATTAAGCCTGGTACCCATTAGTTGTTTTTCCTGATCCTCTCCCTCCTCCCACCCCCCATCCTCCAAAAGGCTCCAGTATGTGTTGTTCCCCTTTCTGTGTCCATGTGTTCTCAGTATTTAGCTCCCACTTATAAGTGAGAACATAGAGTATTTGGTTTTCCATTCCTATGTTAGTTTGCTGAGGATAGTGGCCTCCAGCTCCATCCATGTTCTTGCAAAGGACATGATCTTGTTCTTTTTCATGACTGCGTAGTATTTCATGGTATAGATGTACCACATTTTCTTTATCTAGTCTATCACTGATGGACATTTAGGTCGATTCCATGCCTTTGCTATTGTGAATAGAGCTGCAATAAGCATAACACATGCATGTATTTTTATAATAGAACAATTTATATTCCTTTGGTATATGCCCAGTAATGGGATTGCTGGGTCGAAAGGTATTTCTGTCTTTAGGTCTTTGAGGAATTGCCACACTGTCTTCCACAATGGCTGAACTAATTTACACTCCCACCAATAATGTATAAGCATTCCTTTTTCTCCACAACCTCACCAGCATCTGTTATTTTGGACTTTTTGATAGTAGCCATTCTGACCGGTGTGAGATGGTATCTCATTGTGGTGTTGATTTGCATTTCTCTAATGATCAGTGATGAGCTTTTTTTCGTATGATTGCTGGCAGCGTGTAAGACAACCGGCTTTTCCACTCAAAGAGCATACATTCCAGAATAAGCATTAGCTGGGCAATAGGAGCATATTCTTTCCTCAGTCAGAGTCTCCAGTGCCTCTCTTTGTGTGAGTTTCTTGCCTCGCTAGTATGAGTCTGGTATTCAAAGTGAAATACTCATATAGCATGACCTTCCTAGTGGATTTCATCATTTAAAACTTCTGCCTCAAATACATTTGATCCCCAAATGTGAGCAAATACATCCTGATCCACTCCAACGGTCAAGACCTACTATATTGGAATTACTGAGAGATGGTACCTCAGTCTTCAATATGGTGTCCATTTTCAAGGCCAATTTTGATCATTCTTAACAAAATGAGTCTTGGTAGGGCTCAGTAGCTCATGCCGATAACCCCAGCAAACTTTAGAAGGCCGAGGTGGGAGGATCGCTTGAGACCAGGAGTTGGAGGCCAGCCTAGGCAACCCAGCGAAATCCCCATCTCTGCAAAATATATTTTTTAAAAAACTAACCAGGTGCAGTGGCATACAGCTGTAGTCCTAGTTACTCAGGAGGCTGAGGTGGGAGGATCTCTTGAGCCCAGGAGTTTGGGGCTGCAGCAAGCTGTGATTGCGCCACTGCATTCCAGCCTGGGCGACTGAGCCAGACTCTGTTTCTAAAAATAAAAAATAGGCCAGGTCCGGGCACGGTGGCACAAGCCTGTAATCCCAGCACTTTGGGAGGCAGATCATGGGCAGATCATGAGGTCAGGAGATCAAGACCATCCTGGCCAACACGGTGAAACCCCATCTCTACTAAAAAATACAAAAAACTAGCCGGACGAGGTGGCCCCTATAGTCCCAGCTACTCGGGAGGCTGAGGCAGGAGAATGGCGTGAACCCGGGAGGCGGCGCTTGCAGTGAGCTGAGATCCGGCCACTGCGCTCCAGCCTGGGCGACAGAGCGAGACTCCGTCTCAAAAAAATAAAAAATAAAATAAAATAAAATAGGCCAGGCGCAGTGGCTCACGACTGTAATCCCAGCACTTTGGGAGGCCAAGGCGGGCGGATCCCAAGGTCAGGAGATCGAGACCACGGTGAAACCCCGTCTCTACTAAAAATACAAAAAATTAGCCGGCGTTGTGGCGGGCGCCTTAGTCCCAGCTACTCAGGAGGCTGAGGCAGGAGAATGGCGTAAACCCGGGAGGCGTAGTTTGCAGTGAGCCGAGATCGCGCGACTGCACTCCAGCCTGGGGGACAGAGCGAGACTCCGTCTCAAAATAAATAAATAAATAAATAAATAAATAAATAATAAAACAAAATAATTTTTAAAAATCCAAATGAGTGCTGATTGCCCATTTATTACCGCATGCAGCACACTGCATTACGGCTTGCTGTTTACCAAACACTCTTTCCCACTAGATTGGAAGTTTCCTGCTGCTAGGAATGGTATGGGATTCATTTTTATTAATCCAACTAGAAATGCTGGGCACATAATAGGATCTCAAGAAAAACAATGAAGAAATGAGCAGATTAGAGAAGAAAAAAAACAAAGAATAATAAAGAGGGAAGGAGAGAAGGAAAACAAATATCTTAAGGGTCCAGATGACGCTTCCAAAAACTATTTTGAACAGTACTAAGAAAACACTCATCATCATCAGGAATGAGAGACAGAAGGCATTTTTAGCCAGGATTTAAGAGTCAAATCCACAATTAAAGGCATTAACAGCCACTACTTGGCTGATAATAGCACCAGTAAAGCTGGAAGCCCGAGTGTGACAGACCAGAGTGTAAATCAGATGAGCAGTTAGAAGAGTTGACCTGCCTGCAATATTTCAACTTTATACGCACCTTTGTTATTTTATTTTTTTAGAGACAAGGCCTCACTCTATTGCCCAGGCTGGAGTGCATTGGCGCAATCATAACTTACTGCAGCCTCAAACTTCTGGGCTCAAGCAATCCTCCTGCCTCAGCCTCCCAAGTAGCTGGGACTACAGGCACATGCCACCATGCCTGGCTTTTTTTTTTTTTTTTTTTTTAGTGTTTTGTAGAAATAAGGTGTCACTATGTTTCTCAGGCTAGTCTCGAACTCTTGGGCTCAAGCCATCCTCCCACCTCAACCTCCCAAAGTGCTGGGATTACAGGTGTGAGCCTATACACATGAATACTTTTAATTCTTAGAGGCACCCAAAGGTCCCCATGAAACTAAAGCACAGCCTGCAGCTTTCTCAAGGGTGAGGAGCCAGCCCTTGTCTGGGAGAAACCTGCTCCCGCAGTGACATAAAACAGGCCTGGCTGTCCCTCTTCAGATGGAAGGGAGACGGCAGCCCCGAGATTAACTCAGCTCAGGAGATGCCAGCTCCTCTGCCACAAGAAGGCTCAGCATCAGGAGTGAACCGGAACACTCCCCGCCTCTTGTCTGCCCAATTAGATATTCACCAGGTGTGATTACCACTTAGTGCACTGGAAGGCGATGCATTACAGGCTCACTCTGAATGGGTTCACAATAGAAGACGTCCTCTCCTGACAACTGGGGCTGCCACTATGGAGAGCTCACCACCCGCCAGGCCCTCGCTGCAAGGTGGTGTTACTACCTCCATTTCACCTGAAGTGAGGTGAGGGAGCAGAGGGGTGAGGGAGCAGAGGGGCTTATCAACAGTTAGGCAGTGGGAGGAAGGTTGCAGATTAGACCCAAGGCCATTTTCTCTGCGTGTCACCAAAAGGCTCCCCATGGAAAGGCAATTTTTTTTTTTTTTTTTTTTTAGAGACAGGGTCTCGCTCTATCACCCAGCCTGGAGTGAGCTGGAGTGAGTGCACTGGCTCAATCATAGCTCACTGCAGCCTCGAACTCTGGGCTCAAGAGGTCCTCCTGCCTCAGCCTCCCAGGTAGCTGGAATTACAGATGTGCACCACCATGCCTAACTAATTTTTACATTGTTTTTTTGTAGAGACGGGATCTCATTATGTTGCCCAGGCTGGTCTCACATGCCTGGACTCAAGTGATTCTCCTGCCTCAGCCTCCCAAAGTGCTGGGATTACAGGCGTAAGCCACCGTGCCTGGCCTGGAAGGCAACTTTTATTGACCTCATGGTGGCCAAACCCCCTCCCTTGTTTCTCCATCTCCCATCCCTGTTCCTACACCAGCCATCCCACAGGACAGGGAGAGAAGGAAGGGAAGACAGGAGGAGGGGAGGAAGGAAGGAGGTGAGGGAGGCAAAAAGGGAGGGAAGAGGGAAGCGGGGAAGGAAGGGAAGAGGGAAGCAGGGAAGGAAGGGAGGAAGGGAGCGAAGAGAGAAGTGGGAAGGGAGGGAGGGAGGAAAGAGTGGCTGGGTCTTTTCCTTTCCTTGGGCTCCCCACATCCTTCTACCCACAATGGGTAGATAGTGATCCTCTAACAGGCAGGAATGCCCGACAGCCGACTGGAGACACAGCCTGGTCCGTGGGTGGCTTCCCAAGCAGCCAACCACATTTCCCTGGGCTGGACAGGGGGAAGGAAGCCAATCTAACAGTTGGGCTGAAAAGCATCCATGCATCATCTTGTTTTCCAGCCTTTGCTTTTTCCCCCCAAATCAACTTCTGAAAGTCAAAATGATTGATAGCTTTATACCCTGTGCAATCATTCTCCTTATTAAATAACTCAGCATCAATCATTTAAAAAAGGCTTCCAGAGTGGTGGTGGTTACATGAATCTATACATGTGATAAATTTTCACAGAAAGACACACACAGGAGTGATGTATATAAAAACTAGTGAAATCTGAGTAAGCGCTAGGTTAGTTACCAATGTCTGTTTCCTGGTTGTGTAAGACGCTATCATGCTGGATCAAGAGGACACAGGAACTCTCTGCTATTTTTGCAACCTCTTATGAGTCAAAAATTATTTCAAAATAAAAAGTTTTAAAAATCCAAAAAAGCCTTTTAAACAGTAAAATAAAATAAAAACAATCACTTTTTAAAAAAACTCCCAGGAGGAAACACCACAAACCCATCCCTTACCTGAGAACTGGGAATCAGCGCCTTCCACCAGTGCCCGCCCTTGACCAGGTCAACTTCACACAAAGGCACGGAAACTTTCCCAATGACACAGTGGCGGGAGAACTTATCAAAATCCACCACGGTCAGGAGCAGGGTCCTCCTCTGGGCCTCCAGGAAGGGGATCTCGAAGGTGTAGCGCTCCTCAAACACGGGTTTCTGGGTCTTGCGTTTGACCCCGGTCTGCTTTGAGTTCTTCTGATCTGGCAGGAGACAGATCTTGACGTAGGGGTTGGAGTGTGCCATGTCCTGACGCGAGCCGTCGTGGGAGATGGGAGGTGGCAGGTCTCTGGCCTCAATCACGCGCACGGTGAGGTGGTTGTGCAGCAGGTCGTACTGAGTGCTGAAGTGCAGCATGCCCAGCTGGTACTTGGACAGGATCTCCTCGTCCGTCAGAGAGTCCACGTCGTCACTGCTGGAGTCGAGGGAGTACAGGTGGGGTTCGAACTTCCTGAAATAGTCGTCGGGGGTATAGGTCCGTCTGAGCACCGAAGGCTGGATGGGCTCCTTCTTGGCGCTGAGAACGCCAAACTCGATGGGTTTAATATCGATGAGTGGAGAGCTGGGACGTCTTGACTCAAGACCTGAGAGCCACCAGAAATAACAATGAAGACAGCCACATACAGGGCACACCTGGGCAACTTTGCAGGTGAGCAGATTCTTGCACTGTTTACTCTGCTTCAAAATGATCCTTGCCATCTTTCTCCACACTCTGAAATACTCACTGATTCTGTGACAGACAGTATGGTGGCACTCTTGTCACCATTGCCATCATCACAGCAGCTAAGTGCCAGGCACTGCTCTAATAGACTGAGTACATTACTTCATCTCATATGTGCAATCACAATCTTCACATGCCCTTGAATTCTTAGATAATTACTATTATCCTCACTTTGTAGACGAGGAAACAGAAGCTTTAAGTAACTTTCTGAAGGTCACACACTTGCAAGTGGAGGAGCCAGGGGTCAGGCTGGTCTAGCTGGTCCCAGAGTCTGGCTCTAACCATTATCCTATGATGTCTCCAGTTGAAGAAAGTGAGCTCTGGGACCAGAGTGTCTGGATAGAATTCCCTCTCAGCCACTTACTCACTACTCGTGCACTCATTAACAATGAGCCATGTGACTCCGGGCGTATTCTTTTGACTCTCTGGGACTCTGTTTTCCCATCAGTAAAATAGAGTCAATAATGGCACCTACCTCAAAGAAGGTGATGAAGATTCACTGAACCAGGGCATGGAAAGGGCATGGCGCAGAATGTGCCCATAGGCACAGACCAATAAATGGGAACGATTATACTTCTTCAAGGTTCATATTCAAACTTCATCGCTTACGGGCTGCCTCTCCCCCCCTTCCATGAACCAGCAGAGAGCATTGATCCCAAGTTCATAATCCTAACCTTTTGTGCATCCCACTCTTCTAGCAATGAGCTCATGGCATTCTTGCTAATTGCCCTAACAGCTGTCGTTATGAGACATTTGCCTGAGGCAGGGGAGGTACTCTGACAGACGTGTGCTAAATGGAAATCACCTGTGTTCAGAGCTGGGCATAAGACTCAGAAATCATCTAGGCCCACACTGTCCACAGAAAGATAACGCAAGCCAGAAATGCAAGCCACATATGTAACTTAAAATATCCTGGCAGCCATGACTTTAAAAACATGCCAAAAAAAGGGCAAAAATTCCTTTAATTTAATGTAATTTATTTGTTTATTTTGAGACAGAGTCTTGCTCTGTCGCCCAGCCTGGAGTGCAGTGGCGGATCTCGGCTCACTGCAACCTCCGCCTTCCAGGTACAAGTGATTCTCATGCCTCAGCCTCCCAAGTGGCTGGGACCGCAGTTGTGTACCACGACACCTGGCCCATTTTTGCATTTTTAGTAGAGATGGGGTTTCGTCATGTTGGCCAGGATGGTCTTGAACTCCTGGCCTCAAGCAATCTGCCTGCCTTGGCCTCCCAAAGTGCTGGGATTACAGGCATGAGCCACCGCACCTGACCTGCAAAATTAATTTTAGTATTTTATTTTATTTAACCCACTATATCCAATATATAATCATTTCAACATGGAACCAATATAAACACATTTTAGTGAGATACTTTAAATTCTCTCTCTCTTTCTCTTTTTTTTTGGAGACAGCGTTTCACTTTTGTTGCCTGAGCTGAAGTGCAGTGGTTCGATCTCGGCTCACTGCAACCTCCGCCTCCTGGGTTCAAGTGATCCTACTGCCTCAGCCTCCCAAGTAGCTGGGATTACAGGGATGCGCTACCATGCCCGTCTAATTTTGTATTTTTAGTGGAGATAGGGTTTCACTATGTTAGCCAGCCTGATCTCGAACTCCTGACCTCAGGTGATCCTCCCGCCTCGGTCTCCCAAAGTGCTGGGATTACAGGCATGAGCCACCACACCAGGCCTTTTTTTTCCTCACTGTCTCGGAAGTCCAGTATGTATTTTGCACTCACAGAACATCAGTAAGATTCAGTCTCACACCATTTACGTGCTCAACAGCTACGTGTGCCTAGTGACTGTTACACCAGACAGCACGGTTCTAGATCAGCCCTCTCATTTTACAGATGGGAAGACTGAGGCCTAAAGAAACCCAGTGCTCCCTCTGTTTCACTATTTCATGCCCTTGAACTCTTTTTTTTTTTTTCCTACTTTTTTCTTTTCCCTCTACCCCCAGGAAAGGTTGGACACCAATGATCTCCACCTGAATGGACTTGTTTCAGGCATTTTAAGCTTTTCTCTCTGTTTAGTGAATTTTAGACATCAGTTCACGCAGAGAAGAGATACTTTTGTGGAGCAGAAGGAGGTTGGGAGTCTCTGGGTGTTTATCTTCCTTTTTCATCCTCACCCAAATCATGCTGTTTGGTCAAACACATATGCCACACAACAGAGTAGACAAATTGGTGGCCAAGTTTGATGGCTGCACATACATTTTGTTTAGGCTCGAAAGTAAGAATGTTTCATAAAAAAAAAAAAAAAAAAAAACCCAGATTGCCAATATCTCTTTACAAAGATGAGACAATACTGGGCCCCCAATCCCATACAGCTACCATTGGCCAAGCTGAGCAGCAGCCGCCCTGCTCCCCTTTCAATGGGGCATTCGCTTTTCAATTGACTGAAGTCTTCACCCTGCCCTAGTAACTCTCCAGGCAGAGCGGCAGCTGCCATTTGTCACTGCACTCAGGCAATGTTTATCTCTATGTAACCTCTACATTTGGCCACTGATGCAACCCGCCTAGCTCCCAAAGTCACCAGAATTGACAAGCCCTTCTATATAATATAGCCACACCCATCTTTCAGAATCTGAAATGATATACACTGACAATGTGAATCAATTCAGCCAATTCAATCAAACTTAAAATTAGTAAAAGCAAAAATCAATCAACATGATTGCTTTTGATTAAACTCATCAGCAATCAGGTGTGATGCCGTCCTCTGTCACACCGTCATTATCTCTCTCTCGCCCTGTCTCCTGGACTGTCACCCCACTCTGCCGCCCTCCCCCAGCAACCACTGCCCTTCATGACTCTCCGTGGGAGTGTCTGGGAAAGTCGGCCAGGGCCCCCAGAGAGGTACAGCGGAGATACTTACTCGAAATCCTCCGCGTCAGGCTGTATGTGGACTTGGATGTGTCTGAGGACGAGCGTCTTCCATCCGGGGAATTGGTCCGTGGGGTCAGCGGGACTTCGCTGGCCGTGTGGACAGAGTCACCATCTTTATCACTGCTCCGGCTGGCCATCCTATAGGAAGGGAAGAGGTCTCAGTAGCTGTCCAGGAATCCCGAGGGACTGGTATCTCCGTCCCTTGAGGGTTAAGACCCGCGATGAAACCGTTCTCAGACCCATTTTATGCAACATGGAATAATGCAAATTTGAAACAGTGTGGTGTCCTTAAACTCTCAACAACGTCTTGCTTTTTGCACAAAATGTGAAATGATATGAAGAAATATTACCCGATTTAGAACAATCTGTCAAGAACTTGCATAATTTCAAAGCTGGGGTTGGGCGGAGAACTGTGTAAACTTAGGCTGTCGCCACGTGGGGGCGCCACTTTGGCTCAGTGAAGCCCCAGACCTGTCAATCTCTAGTCTGCAGTGAACCGTCTGGTGGTTTATAGGCATCCAAACTTCTGCTTTTGGTTACAAGTGTCCTGGTATTTCAATAGTCACTGTGTCTATAATTTAAGATCTTTTAAAAATATCCTATAACAATGTCACTCAAGGGTTCTTTGCGTGGCAGAAATGGCCCTGAAAATCAACAATTTCTGAACAGAAGTTTGATGTCAAGAAATAGCTATAAATTAGCAGCAGCCGTGACTCAATGTGCTCCCAATAAAGAACTGCTGAGAAACTGGGAAGGAGCGGGTAAGGGTGGATGGAGAAGAAAGACGATACGGGGTAGTAATTAAGAGAACCGCTGGGGCTGAACCCTGGCTGGGTGCTGGGGTAAGTCCCTTTCCCCTCCCGTACCTCCATTTCCCCATCTGTAAAGTGGAAATATTGACAGTACCCACATTATATGGTGGTTGCAAACTCTGAATGAGTTAACACATATAAAATATGTAGAGGCCGAGCATGGTGGCTCACACATATAATCCCAGCATTTTGGGAGGCCAAGGCAGGAGGATCCCTTGAGGCCAGGAGTTTGAGACCAGCCTGGGCAACACAGCAGGACCCCATCTCTACTAAAAGTTGACTGGGCATGGTTGCCCACAACTGTAATCCCAGCACTTTGGGAAGCTGAGGCAGGAGGATCACTTGAGCTCGAAAGTTTGAGACCAGCCTGGGCAACATGGCAGAACTCTGTTTCTACAAAAAAAATTTAAAAATTAGCTGGGCATGATGGCTTGTGTTTGTAGTCATAGTCACTTGGGAGGCTAAGGCAAGAGGCTCGCTTTAGCCCAGGAGTTTGAGGCTGCAGTGAGCTATGATTGTGCCAATGCACTCCAGCCTGGGAGACAGAGCAAGAGACCCTGTCTCAAAAATAAATAAATAAAATGCTTAGAACAGTGCTTGGTTGTGTAGTAAACAGGTGCTCAATACATTTTGAAACATTTTTTATGGATTGATCAATCGATCAATTCATTGATTTTTTTTTTGTTTAAGAAACAGGGTCCCACTATGTTGCCCAAGCTGGACTCAAACTCCTAGGCTCAAAGTATCCTCCCGCCCTCAGCCTCCTGAGTAGCTGGGACTATAGTTGCATGCCTCCATGCCCAGCTTAGTTGATATTATTACAACTGGGGGGCTTTAAGATCTCCCCCCCCAATACTCATAAAGCTAGGTAAGGATGCTGAAGGGATGGAAAAGGAGGTAGAAAAACAGCTGGTGACATCGTTTTGAGACTGATGCCGCTAATAACATGCCCCTAAGCCATAATGGCTGTAGATTTATGCCTTCCGAGGCTGCATCCCCCGCAACGTGACATTAAAGCCTACAGGAAAGCTTGTCTTGAAAAATGCAAGTTTTGAATGCTGTGAAGTCTTCAGACATATTCTGTGCATGAGATGAGACTGATCTAATGTTCTTCAAAAGCATTATCAGGAGCCGGGCGCGATGACTCACGCCTGTAATCCCAGTACTTTGGGAGGCTGAGCTGGGTGGATCATTTGAGGTCAGAAGTTCAAGACCAACCTGGTCGACATGGCGAAACCCCATCTCTACTAAAAGTACAAAAATTAACTTGGCATGGTGGCACGCACCTGTAGTCCCATCTACTTGGGAGGTTGAGGCATGAGAATCACTTGAACCTTACCCAGTCTTGGGTATCTCTTTATCGCAACACAAAACAAGCTAACACAGGTTGGGAGAAGGATGGATAACTAATTTGCATCACTGTTAAAAGGGAGAACCTTTTTCAACTGAGCCAGTAATGCTAAACTCTAAATGGCACACACTCCCAATCGCCAAGTGAGGCATCTCTGTGAGACCTGTAAGAGCTCTGCACATTGTAGGGATTCAACATACGCTTGTTTGACAAGCAATCAACCAACTTGACTTTAACCCACTCTTCAATGAGGGTCTTTCTGGCATTGCTTCAAAAGGCACCAGTTAGATTGTGCAGTTTTCCTAATCTTCACCAGCCCAGCCAAGAAAAGTTGGGGGCCCACAGGACATGAGCATATGTGACAATTAATGTTATGTCCCCCAAGATCACACACAGAGCACACACAAAGGGCCAGCTCATCTGCCACGTGCCAGTCCACAGAGGCAAGTCCCATGGTTCTCGGCTCAAATGTCGCAGTAGGAACAGCATTGCAAAGCCCATACACTTGACATTTCTACTTCCTGTCTGTTTGATAACATGCAGCTGCCCACTTGGTAAATAAATCTGGGGAAAATACAAAGCTGTAAATTTGCTTTCTGAATGATTTAGCCGTCTTCTCTTTACAGATTTCTCTTACCGTTTTGCATTATACTGAGTGCCAAAAATGTGTCAAGCACTGCCCAGTGTTCAGAAGAGACCTCATTCATCCTGAGAAGCACAAAGGTCATGCACAGCTGTTCAGTCTGTAGACTGCACAACCCTAGGTGGTGCCATTCATGATGGCCACCATGTGAATTGGTGCCACCTGGAGTTGTGTGGTGTATTGGCCCTGCTGGGAAAGTTACAGTCCACTTCTCTACTAGTGGCAAAACCGAAAGAAGTGTCTTCCCAGAGGGTCCCAGCCCTCTTGCCCCTGCTTACATAAAGGGTCAGCAGCAGTCAAGGCAAAATACAACTGTCTTCCAACTCAGCATGAGAACCTAGGCTGTGCATCTGTAACACTCAACATTTGGATATCTAGGGGGCAAACAGGTACCTGACTGTGATTTTCAACACCTCTGAGGGGTCTCCGCTGGTACAGAAGAAAATCCAAATTCCTTACTCCAGCATTCAAGACCCAATTCAACCTGAGCTTGCAGGCTCATTTTCCACTATTCCCCCAGCTCTTCCTAGATGTAGTGTCCATTTGTGGTGTCTGCCCACTTCTCTAGTCAATTTTCTCCTCTGTAGTCACAACACCCCAATTGTCTATTACAGGGGTCTGCAAACTACAAAGCCAAATTCACTGCCTGATTTTGTAAATGAAGTGTTAATGAAACACAGCCCTGCCCCTTCGTTTATGGTCTACAGCTGCTTTTGCACAACAATGGTAGAAATAAGTACCTGCAGCAGAGACCATATGGCCCATGAGGCTAATATATTTACTATTTGGTCCTTTAAAAGTTTGCCAACCCCTGGTCTAGTAGTTTAGTTCATGTGTTTCAGATGGAAATGACCATTTCCCTGGTTTCCTGGTTGGGCAGGTAACTGGCATGATTCTAGCACCATTTTCTCCAAGTGAAAGTGACTGGTACATAAGCCAAGCCAGGCTAGTGAGAGTCTTTCCTGGTTTTGTTTTGTTTGTTTATTTGTTCACTTTTTATGCAACGGCAACAGAATGCAAGTCTAGTGCTGCCACATGGAGAAAATAAGCTTAAGAATGAGGCCAATACAGAAGAAATAGAGAGAGAGAGAGAAACAGAGAAAGGCTCTGATGACATGATTTCTGCTCCTGGATCCAGCTATGCCTGAAGCCATCATTCCTGATTCTTTCATAACAAGGCCTTATGCAGGACTGTCATATATGGAATGCAGGGTGTAAATGCACAACTCTAGGGGGCAACCTGACTTATATACCTGCCTTACCTCCTACATGAGATTGAAAATTCCCTGAGCATGGTCATAGGACCCTATCTAGCCCTGTGTATGCCACAGCGCCTGGCACACTGTACTTAAGAAATAACTACAAAAGGAACTCATATTAACTTTTCAACTGACGATTGGCACTTTAAGGATGCAAGTTCTGCCTGAAGAATAGTGTGTCAATCAACAACTTTTTCTGAGTGAACAAGACAGGCAAAAATCCCTGCCCACATGGAGCTGGCATTCTTGTGAGCATAGCTTTAAAGACATCAGATGGACTGAACTAACTTCTGCTACATAGACCAGTGGAATCCTTTTTTTTTTTTTTTTAAGTCTTGCCCTGTTGCTCAAGCTGGAATGCAGTGGCATGATTATAGCTCACTGCAGCCCTGACTTTTCAGGCTCAAGCGATCCTTCCACCTCAGCCTCCCGAATAACTGGAACTCTAGGCAACAACATGCCCAGCTAATTGTAAAAATTTTTATAGAGATAGGGGTCTCATCGTGTTGCCCAGGCAGGCTGGTCTCAAACTCCTGACCTCAAGCAGTCCTCCCACCTCAGCCTCCCAAAGCACTGGGATTACAGATGAGAGCCACGGCACCCAGCTGCAAATTATCTCTTGATTAATGAGTTGCTTTCACCCAAAATCTCAACTTCACACACACCTGTAGGATTCAGGCCACAACTTATGAATAATGAATAATGGAAGAGTTCTTTAACATTGTGTTTATATCGGTTTAATTAATCTCTATTGATACCTAATACTGACAGAAATAAATGCTTATAAAACTTTTACTCTGTGCTAAGCATATTATATGCATATCTTATTTATTTATTTATTTATTTATTTTATTTATTTATTTTTTTTTGAGATAGGGTCTCATTCTTTCCCAGGCTGGAGTGCAGTGGCGCGATCACAGCTCACTGCAGCCTCAACCTCCTAGGCTCAAGTGATCCACAGGCACACATCACCACACCCAGCTAATTTTTTGATGTTTTGTTGAGATGGGGTGGGGGGGGCAGTCTCACTATGTGGCCCAGGCTGGTCTCAAACTCCTGAGCTCAAGTGATCCGCCTGCCTCAGCCTCCCAAAATGCTGGGGTTACAGGCGTGAGCCACTGCGCCCAGCCAGAATTACATTTATAATCACCAACGAAGTATCAAGCATTCCTAACTACTTTTCCACATTTCAAATTCATTGACTCCCTGCAACAACTCTGAGAGAAATACTGTTCTTTTTATCACCCCATTTCACAGATGGGAAATCAAGGTACAGAGAGATTAAACCATTTGCCTAAGGTCACAGAACTAGAAATAGTAGTTGCGATCACAGAGCCTGGATCCAGAGCCATTTTGCTATGGAAATATTTGATACTTGCTTCTAAGAAGAGAAAAAGAGGCCTGAGGCATGAGCCCCCAACTTGGGAGGGAAAGATGGGACACCAGAGACTTTTGGAATCTCAGACCAAGTTCTGAGCTGAAACAGCACTGCCTCCTTCCACCCTGCCAGGCTCCAGCTGTGGGTTCTGGCCGCTGTCTCTCTCCCTCTCTGGGCCTGCCCCTCCGAATCATGATAAGCTCACTTGATGACTTCTTGATCCTTCCCAGCCCGGACCTTCTTGACTGTACCCAGGCTCTCTGACCACGTCCCTCTCTCAGTCACGGAGAGGTGGACCAGGCACGTGGCTGAGAAGCTTCAAAACTGCGTTCCCAAAATATCTGAGCGACTGGCAGATGGAGATGTTGTATGCAGGCGCGGGAGGAGAGCGAATTAGAAATAAAACGAAAGATGCCAGAGAGAACATAAACAGCGTTGGAGGACAGGATGGAGCCTGGAGGTGCTTTTCTGCTTCCCTGTTTCTGAAGTTCTTGTTCGGAGCCGCAAAAAGGCGCTTGTTTGTTGATTCCGTCTACCCATCCATGCAACGGATATTTATCGAGCTTTTACTATGTGCATGCCCTGGGCTGGGTGCTAGGGAATCTCGTCACGCAGACTTGGATGGAAACCCTCAGAATGTGGTCAGCCCTTGAAGACTATAGAGGCTCACAGATCTCCTTTTCTGCTTGGAACAACACTTTACATGACTAAAAATGCCCACACACTTAGCATTACACGGTTCATATCTCAGAAGGCCCAATGTGCCACTAGGTGAACTAAAACCCCACCACCAGCTGGTCTTGCCAGCCTGCCGAACAAAATGAGGTGTACAGAACATATCCGCAGTCTGCAGCAAAGATGTCCATGGAAACTCAGCCTGCTTCTCTTTCATGCCCCCACATCCTCCCTCCTGTGGCCCAGACCCCCAACCCCCTCTTCTCAGAAAAAGGGAAGAGCCTTGAAACTGATTTCAGAGAAGTTCAGAGCACTTTTACTTACAGCCAGGGAGGGGTCTGAGCAGGGAAAGGTCCCAGAATTTCAACTTCATCCTCACTTGACTGGCAACAGCTGGACTCGTAGCACTTCTGACAGCAGTGCCGGCAGGTCCATCTGCACAGCAGCAGATCAGAGAGTCTAGAAAGAAAACCCTGAGGCCATTGGGGGAGGTGGGCCGGGGATAGGGGGAGAGGGGTGGTGGGCAGGGTGGGGAAGAGGAAGAGGAGAAACAACACCCAAAAATTAAAAGTAGCCGATCTCGGATGAGAAATAGACATTCAGGAGTTCTGGCTTTGCTGCTCAGCACTTAGAACAAAATGTTTTCCATTTCTATTTACCAACTGCAGGCACAAAGATAGCAACCATCAACTCACTGGAGCCATTAGTAGCAAGCAAAACATTTGCAGGTATTTTCTTTGGTAGTTTATGTGAACGTCTTTCTTGACATGTGGGTGGTTTATACAACATTGTAAGGGCTATACAATATGTTCAAAACACAATGAATATTACTCTGTCTTCTTGAAAGCAGGGGAAAAAATATTTTAAAAATGAACTTGGTGACATGAAACAGACAGAGATGATCAAACGGAATAAGTAGGGGTGAAGAGGGAAACTTGTCTTGTCAACTGGTGTCTTTTCAAAACCGGGATCTCCTTTCGTTAGAAAGGAATGGAAACTCTGCTGGTATTAACACCAGGTTATTGCTGAATATTCAATATCCCCACAGCCCCACATAAGACTCCAAAATGAAAGTCAGGCATTTCTTGATTAGAAACCAGACCAAACAAATCATCAAATGAACCCACCTCGTTTAATGGTTCCAACTGCCCTTTTAAGATCCACGATGAAGCCAAGGGCGTAAGGGAACGAAGGGGTTAAAGAAAGAGAGACAAGACCAGTTTAGCAATATTCCAGCAACTCAAAAAAAAAATTTACAGAAGAAAAAAAAAAAAAAAAAGCCCTGCGTATTTCCACTTACCATCCTGGGAAGGGAGCTGACTTCCTAACAAGGTGTTGCTATTTTCAGGGCTGCTGGTAGCCTCCTGGTTAACCAACACCAAATAAATGGGAAACTTTAGCATTTCGATTTGATTTGCACCGTATGCTGTTATGAATCAGAGCGGGCGGATAGATAGTCATGCTATCCAATACAGCCACACTTCAGGAGAAGAGCAAACCTTCCTATACAGAAATAGCCATGTAGCCAACCCAAAAGGACATGATTAGCTAACATGCAGGCAGGCACACAGTGGATGTTACTTGGCTCCCCCGCCCTCCCGGAGGCCCTACCTTCCAATTCTGCTCCAATGGTAATGATGGGGTGTTTCCTATCACCACCCACAAATAGAGGGAACTAAAAAGGAAGCCCTAATCTGGTCCTCTTAAGGAAGGAGGGCCTCCCTTCCTGTTGTGGCCCCACCCCACCTCCCCATCTTCGTCTCCTGGGTTTTCAGGGCACAGACTCCCTCCTTCTCTTTAAGATGGTTTTCCAAATGGGCCAAGTAGACTAGGTAGGTTAGAAGTCCTGCACCCCAACCTCGGGCATGCCCCAGAGGTGAACTGAGGTGGGACTCAAACTCAGAACTTTGAATCAAGAGGGGGAAAGTTATTATCTTCTTTCCAATTCTCCTTCCAGGAGGAGAAAGTCTCAATTTGGTACTACTGCATGTTAACATCTTTTTACCACTTACCAATTTCTACCCTCACCCATCCCCTTTCTTTTAAACAAAGAAAGGAGATCTTGTCCAGAGCCTTGCAGACAGCCATGTCCACCTAGAATTCAATAATGTGGCATTATTCCCATTGCATTTACTCTTCTAGTTGCCTTCTGCCCATGTCACATGATCTTGGTTTCCTATGATATTAGTGACATAATGTTTCCTTTTCATATGATTTTGTTAAAGTAAAAATAAAAGTGAGCCCATTTATAGAAAAAAAATTTAGTTAATAATAGCATAGGTAGGGCTAGGCACAGTGGCTCATGCCTATAATCATAGTATTTTGGGAGGCAAGGCAGGTGGATCACCTGAGGTCGGGAGCTTGAGACCAGCCTGGCCAACATGGTGAAACCCCCTCTCTTCTAAAAATACAAAAAATTAGCCAGGCATGGTGGCAGGCACCTGTAATCCCAGCTGCTGGGGAGGCTGAGGCAGGAGACTCACTTGAACCTGGGAAGCAGAGGTTGCAGTGAGCTGAGATCACACCACTGCACTCCAGCCTGGGCAACAGAGTGAGACTCTGTGTAAAATAATCGTCATCACCATCATCATCATCATCATAGTACAGGTGGTACCTGGCTTGTGAAAAAATCAAAATCCTCAAAGTGATAAGGGAATAACAACAGCTTGGGAAATACTCAAAGGCACTTATCACAAAATCTCTAAAGCCAAAACTCAAACCATACACAGAACAAGACCCAAAGGTGCTGAGGGGCCATGCAACGAGCTGAGTCAAGAAGTATTACAGTCCTAGTCTCACCATTGACTGATCACGTGACTTGCACAAGTCAGGGGGCCTCTCTGAGCCTCGGTTACCTCTTCTTTAGTGGAAAGGCTACTCTGTACTTCAAAGGGGTGCTGTTAGGGTGGGACAGGACACTGACTCTGCAAATACTTGCGTGCAGTCCAGTTGAAAATTAAAATGCACCCTTTCTGTGATGATAATTGGGTGATTGTCAAGACATAGTGGTACCCAGTAGGCACCAGGTATTGTCCCGGCAGGTACAGCAGGGCACAAAACAGCAAAACATACTCTCATAGGGCTTACATGAAAAAGTGCTTTAGAATGTTTAGGATAAAGTGATACTTTTTCATGATAATCCATGACCATTTTAGGAATATGGGGAAGCATTTCCTAGACATGTGGTGTTCAAAAGAGGCCATTTATGAAACCAAAGTGAACAGAGACAAGGCCACCTCATGCCCCTGCTGAAAAACAGCCTCCCCAGCTTTCTCAAAGCCCAGGTGCAAGATGAGTGTCAAGAAACAGAGAGAAACCAAAGAAGATGAAAGAGGTGCCCTGACGTTCCCAGGCATGCGGTCTTTCTGGTGTTGGGTCTCCTGAGTTCCCATGTTTGATACCGAGGGAAGAGAACCAATTCACACCAGAAAGAAAGAGGAAGAAAGAAAACCCATGCATTCTAAACAGAGGTTGGCAAACTAAGGTTCGCAGATCAAAACCAGCCCCACAGCCTGTTTTGCTACAGCCCTTGAGCAAAGAATGATTTGTACGAGTTTAAAAGGTTGGGAAAAAAAAAAAAAAAAAGATGACTGCCTCTTGACTCGTGCAAAGTATACAAAATTCGAATGTTAGTGCCTGCAAATAAAGTTTTATTGGAACACAGCCACACCCACTCATTTACTACTGTCTATAGCAGTTTGGGTGCTATAGTCAGAGTGGAATAGTTGTGACAGAGACCAGGTGAGCCTCCAAGAGAAAAAAAGTACTATCTGGCACTTCACAGGACAAAAAAAGTTTAACACCTTGTTCTAGAAGGAAAATCGACATCTCTGCTCATTGTCATATGAGATGCTTAACATATCTCCCACCGACCCTCCTTGAGATCCCACCTTGACCCCTAAGCGGCTGTGTGGCCTTGGGCAAGTCACTTAATTTCTCTCTGCTGAAGGCGGCCATTAAGAATCCCAGGAGCCAGTAAACATGTTCATTTCTCACTAAATTGCACACTCAGAGGGGCAGGAACTGTGCTGTTTTCATCACTGCATCCCCAGGGCCAGCACTTAGTAGGCGGTCGCCCAAGTGTGTGTTGGGTGACTATTGAATAGCCCCTGGACAACATTCAGCACACAGTGGGTGGACCCTAATGTGACCTTCAATGAACTTGAAAAGAGAAACTGGCGATTCCACGAAAGGGAAGCCAATCCGGGGAATCGAAGGCAGGAGACGAACGGAAGAGGCTCCGCCAGGTGACACAGCACAGAGTTCCCGGCAGGCTGAAGCGTCTGAGGACACTATGAGGGGATACGTGAGCCAGAGGGGAATAGGAGGACCAGCAGCACCCCCAGCTGTGGCTGAGGGGACAAGATGTGAGCCAAGATGCACCCTGGACGTGGAAGTCTGTAAGCTTCTCTGCCCAGCTCGGAGGAGCCAGCACCAGAAGCAAGCAACTCAACGGGTCTCACTGCGAGTCTGCCTGCTTGACCTTGGCGCTGACCTGCGGTCACTTCCCTTCTTGCAGAGGAGAAAGGTCTTTTCATCAAGAAGCCCGGCCTACCCCTCCGCCCCTCTCCCCAAAAAAGGCTGCTTAGAAATTATTTCAGAATTATTTCAGCCCAAGGATTCTTGGTGGACATTTCTTCAAGGTGAAGAGGGTCCACATCTCCCAGATCCCAATGCAGCGGACTAAAGTAACAGGCTCCCTTTTCTTCACCAGCGCGCCTCTGGCCTCCGGGTGTCCCCCACCCCTCAGCACCCAGTGCCCAGGAGAGACGACGTCCTTGTCCCTCCTGGTCGGAACAGCTGCCTCAGGCTCGGTCTGCCGGCCAATTAGCCGGAGCCGTCACCACGGCAACGGCAGCTGACGGGCCGGGCTGCTGGCTCGCCCCGGGCCGCCCTCCCCACGGCCCCTCCCCTGGGGTGGGGTGCCAAGGAGAGGGAGGGGCGGGGGGGAAGAAAAGTCCGCCCCACCCCCCATTCCCTCCCCAAGAGGCAAGGGTGTGCGTTGCAGAGTCCACATAGGACCCTCCATCCCGGGGTTTGGGGGTCCCCAGTCTCTCCTCCCGGGGCGCACCCCTGTTGCTGCAAGGGTTGCCCGCGCACGGGCATCCTTTTTCTCGAAGCAAGTTTGTGGGAGCCTAGCCGTGGGCCCTCCCTTCCGCGCGCTCCCAGCCGGAGGGGGCGCAGCACCCCCTACCCGCACCCCGGACCTTGCCCCCAGCCTCAGCCCTACCTGGATGTACGCCATTTTCGCCCGCGCGCACTCACTCCGGCCCGGGCATGGCGCCGCCACGGCCACTTTGCCCTCGCCAACAGCGGAGGGGGAAGAAAGCAAAGGGGGAAAGGAAGAAAAAAGCAGCCGGTGGCCCCAGACGTGACTGGAGTGGCTGATGAGCGGCGCCCGCCCCTCCGCCGGCCGCCCCGTCCTTGCCTTTCCCTGCGTTCCGGCTCTCGGAATCGGGGCCGCCTCCCCGGTTCGGAGAGATCGGTTGCCCAAGGCCCCCGCCTCGGTCTCCCTCGCTGTCCCGTGCTCCCCCCCGAGGCGCTCCCCAGGCTGGAATAAGGCCCGGGCGCCTGGGCAAGGAGCCCGGGGCAGCAGCGGGGACTGCAGCGACCCCAGCGCAGGCGGGGCCGGAGACGCTGGGGCCCGAGCGCGCGGGAGGCGGGGGAGGGGATGGGGATGGAGAAGGGGGTGGGAGGGGGCGGTACACAGGTCAGCCCATCCTGCTGGCAAGGGGGCTGGCACCTACCGAAAGCAGGGCCCCCGGGGCAGCCGTGGAGCGGAAGGGACACAGTGCAGCCTGCCATGAAGTCTGCACCAGGGAGGGTCCTCCCTATCCAGCCCTCTCCCCAAACTGGTTTGGAAAAACTTTATTCCCGCCCCACTCGACGCGCCTAGCACGGTTGCGGTGAGGATCGCAGAGGCTGCTTGGATGGCAGCCTCAAGTTAAGGTGGGCATAGGGCGTCCGAAACGGAGGTGCTGTGTCCAGGGCTTAAGGGGGCGCGCGGAGAGAGCGGAGCGCCCCTTTACTCTAAACCTGCCGGAGTTGCGCCCTGGACGCAACAGGTCTAGTGCGGGGCGGCCCGGCAGCGCCACCCAGCGTCGTGCCCGGCCTCGTGTGCTCCTCTGCCCACCGGCTGCCGGCCGCCAGCGAGCGTGCGCCCCGGGGCGTGTCCACCGCCGCCCTCCTGCCTGACCTCGTGGCTGGGGCGCCCTTGACCCACAGGCCTCCATCAAACCTCCCAGTCCAAGGCCTCTGGCTCTCCACTCAGATTCGAGGTGGAACATTGCCCTCCTCTGGATTTCTTATTTTATTTTTTTATTTTATTTTATTGTAGACACAGAGTGTCACTCTGTCACTCAGGCTGTAGTGCAGTGGGGTAATCTTGGCTCGCTGCAACCTGCGCCTCCCAGGTTCAAGGAATTCTCGTGCCTCAGCCTCCCGAGTAGCTGGGACTACAGGTGCATGCCACCACGCCCGCTAGATTTTGTATTTTTCATAGAGAAGGGGTTTCACCATATGGGCCAGGCTGACCTCGAACTCCTGGCCTCAAGTGATCTGCCTGCCTCGGCCTCTCAAAATGCTGGGATTACGGGCGTGAGCCACTGTGCGGGCCGGATTTCTTTTTAATATGCCCAGTCATCTCCTGTTGCTGGGCACCAGCTCATCAGCCTTTTAATTTTAACCTCCCAGTGCCTCTTTTTCCTCAGTAAAAACGAGAAAATCTCCACCCTGCCTATCCTCCAGGGCTGTTTTGTGGGAATAAACCAGAAAATGAATATGGAAGTAACAAACAAAAGATGGATATTCAGATGCATATATTTTTTGTCTAAAAATCTAGCAGGCCTATACATTTTTTAGTATGATATATTTAGTTTGTAGCATATAGCACATAATGCATATTGAGTGCTTATGATTCTGCAGGCATACACGCCTCAACACTTCACAAGCATTATTTCATTTCAACCTGCAGTACCTTGATCACTCCTATCAGCTAGCACTCTGTCCAGCCAGAGTAGGCACTGAATAATTGTTTTTGTTGCCCTTATTCACTCTGCTTCCTGAGGGAGGTGCTATGATTATCTCCAATTTATGAGGGACTGGAGTCCGGAGCGGTAAAGCCTCTACGAAGGCCTGACAGCTGGTAACCCGGGGCACTGGCCTTTGAACCTACAAGTCCAGGAATGAACCCAAAGTGGCCACTCCTAATCATTTTGTGGTATTTATCCACAATCTTTCTCCAGCACTGATGGCAGGGCATGCCAGGTGGGGAGTGGGCCTCACAGAGGAGGATGCCTATTGGGACAGGTGCTCCTTGGGGGCACTTGAGGGAGTTGGAGGAATTTGCTAGGTGTTCCCGTAAGTAAAAATAATTAACCCTTTTTCACCTGAGGTCAGGAGTTTGAGACCAGCCTGGCCAACATGGTGAAACCCCGTCTCTACTAAAAATACAAAAATTAGCCAGGCATGGTGGCAGGCACCTATAATCCCAGCTACTCTGGAGGCTGAGGCTAGGAGAATCGCTTGAACCTGGGAGGCGGTGGTTGCAGTGAGCTGAGATCGTGCCACTGCACTCCAGCCAGGGTGACAGAGTAAGACACCATCTCAAAAAAAAAAAAAAAAAAAAAGTTAACCCTTTTTGAGGTCTGTGTGCCAGGCACTGTTTTCAGCCCTTTACACGAATTTCAATCTTTTAATTTTCTGATTACCATGAGGTAGGCACTAGTACTATCCCACTCTTTAGGTGAGAAAAAAAGAGGCATGAAGAGGTGAAGTTGGCCAGGCGTGGTGGCTCATGCCTGTAATCCCAGCACTTTGGGAGGCCAAAGTGGGTGGATCACTTGAGGCCAGGAGTTCAAGACCAGCCTGGCAACATGGTAAAACCCTACAAAAATTTTCTCTACAAAATATAAAAATTAGCCCAGCATTAGTGGCTCACACCTGTAGTCCCAGCTACTTGGGAGACTGAGGCTGAAGAATCACTTGAGCCCAGGAGATTGAGGCTATAGTAACCTGAGATCACACCACTGCACTCCAGCCTGGGTGACACAGTAAGACCCCACCTCAAAAAAAGAAAAAAAAAAAAATGAAATCATTTGTGCAAGGCGTATCATGCCAGACCACTGTTAACTCCTATAGGAATGGTACCATGTCCAAGAGGCCAGAAAAAAGACCTAGAGACAGTGAACGAGACAGGGTTTATTGTAGAAACTTACATACAGGGACAATCCAGTGGCAGCTGGCTGGACAGGAGAACCTCTATTGTTTATATAAAAAGCATGCAGTTTATGTAGCGTTTTCACTTAGCACCCTCCACCTAGCAACTTCCTTTTGGCCCTTTAACCCAAAACAAAGGGCCTCAATTGTTTATATAAAAAGCATGGAGTTTATATAGCATTTTCGCTTAGCACCCTCTGTCTAAGCAACTTCCTTTTGACCCTTTAACCAAGGTTTTGCCTCTTTAACCCAAAACAAAGGGCCTCAATTGCCTGTACAGCCTGCATTCCAAGGGACAGGCAGGAGACCCAGACATCCTTCAAAGATAAGGAGTGAATCTCCAGGTTGGCCACTCCCGGATTCCTTAGTTCTGAACTGTGAATACACATTCTTCTTAGACCATAGTGTCGTTTGCAGAGTAAGCTAAGTTCAATTATTGCCGCCAGATGTGTCTGCCCTTCAGGGCGTATGGCTTCCAGGAGCTGGGATTCAAACCTAAACTTGAATCCTTTCCCTAGCCCCTGCACTATGCTGCCTAATAATGTCTGGTCTTGGAGGAGGGGGATGACCCCGTCCACAGAATTTTTTAGTACCTTAATCCCTTATGACCTGAAATTGTCCGAGAATACTAAGCACCTCTCCAGCAAAAGAAGAGGTTATTTAAAATGTGGATAATAGAACCTGCCTCTGGTACTATGAAAGGCTTTAAATGTGTGCAAAGCACCTGGCAAAATAGGTGTTTGATAAATGCTTGTTGAATGAGCAAATGGATTGCAACAACAGCTAACATGGACACTTTCAACTCTCAGCCAAGTGGCTATAATGATTGAGTGCTAAGCCCTTCCTATTCATTTTTGTTTCATCCCTACTGGATCCTTACCAGGTGGGTACTGTCAAGGTCCCCAGTTTACGGGTGAGGAAACTGAAGCCCTGAGATGAGAAGCAAAGTGAGTTGCCCAAGGGAAACAGGTAACAAGAGACAGGGACAGGATACAAATGCAGATCTGGTTAGCAGTAAAGGCTCAACTCATCATGGCTTCACCATCATCAGATGAAAGAATGGACGATCAGTTTAAGTCCTTCATCAGGGGAGTCAGATGAGTTCCAGGATCCCACTGCTTTGCAAGCCTCTCCCTGCCTTTCACCGGGACCTGAAGTCCAGCTTTTCAATGTAACTTGGACTCAGATCAAGGCTGTGCCTGCAAAGCTGGCACCTTTACAGGTCTCGATGGAGAAGGCCCCAAACTAGGAGGTAGACAAATGCATGGAATAATATGTGACCTGTGGTGTGATAAAGGGAGGCTCAGGGGACTGTGGGGTTACAGGTGAGAGGCCCCAACCTAGTGTGATGAAGGATCACAGAAGGTTTCCCGGAGGGGCTGACATTAAACTGAGTCCCAAAGAACCAAAGATGGGGAGTGGTGCTTATTTGGGAGGTCCATGAACTTAGAAAGGAAAAAAGTTACGTCGCCATTGTCACCAACCTCCTTCTGAAATTTAGTGTGTCCTTCCATTATGAATGCAGGCAACAAACCAAAACAAGCTTAGCACTTACTCAGGACTTAGTCACCAACAACGATCATGTGTAGTCTATCTCATTACACTTGCGGTTGTTGCAAATGACTTGAAATTTCATTTATGTTCTTTACTGCTTGAAAATTACAAATAGTTATTAGGCCCACCTCTAAATCAGTCTATTTAATGTGTTAACAAAGAAGCAAAGACATGACCATATTTACATTTGTTTAAATATTTTGATAACTGTATATCAGTGTTCATTATAATTTCATTATCAATCTATGTATTCTAGTCTATGATTCTAAAAACATTATTCTGAAGGGCTCCATAGGCTTTGGTGGATGGCCAGGGTTTCATGACACAGAAAGTAGTACGAAAGCCCTGAAAGTAGCCTCTGCATTAGCTTAGAGGTGAGAAAGGGAACTGGGGAGAGGCAGGTGCCAGGTGTGGCTCCACAGGTAGTGGATGCCAGATGTCAGGTGGCCTCCTAAGTTACCCCATGGAAAAGCAGAGAGGATTGTGATCAGAAAGATTTTGGCAGGGCTGTGTGCATGTCTATCTGTCTGTCTACCTGGCTGTCTTTGGACATGGAACAGACAAGCCTGGAGGCAGAGAG